CCCCCCGGTAGGATCACTCCGTTTTTAGAGCTGTCCGATAAAACAGAATTCCAGGCTGTCCAACATTTCCTGTCCGGAAAGGGGGAAGATAAGAAAGAAGCAAATTCACCTGTTGAATGTCTACATATTCCAGCCTTGTGGTGGTGGAATTGATTTCTTCAGGCAAGTGTGACCAAATTCTCACTTTATTTACTTTTAAGCAGGAGAGACCAAAATGATTTTCAATCAGAGTTAATTGTTTAAACCATTATGGAGTTTGTAAGCCATGATGTATAAGCTGCAATTTCTGAGTGCACCCACTGGGCTAAGTCAACCCAAACTAGTTACATAATGACTTAGCTTGTTGCTTAAACCAAGAATCCTCAACCTTTTGGACCTCAAGGACCACTGCATTTATATTTTTAAATCCCACGGACCACCAATATGATCTACCTAATACTGGCTGGGGAGGGCATGGCTAGGTGATCATGTGACTGGGTGTGGCCAACTTGTTGTCACTCACGTTGAGGGGCGCCTTGCCGGACTCTACTTGCTCCTCCCCTCCCAGAGCTCCTTAGGGCCCCAATAGGAAGCAGTTGTTGGAGCTAAACAGCCACCATGAGAAAGAATTTGCAAAAAAGCTGGCTCAGTTCAAATTGGATCTGACCGAGAAGGAAGCTCAGGAGAAGCACCTAACTGAGGACTATGAGCATAGATTTTGCAAGCAGAGGGAAGGCCTGTGGGAGTGCAAGGCTAGGTACCAGCACCTGGAGTCTCAGCTGGATGAGATGGTTAGCCAGTTCCAGACCATGATACAGTCCCACTGGAACAAGGCCCTCCGGCTCTTCACCACCGGTGGCACTTCCCTCCTGCCTTCGCCCAAAGCCCCGCGCCAGGCGGCTGAAGCAGACCCCGTCAGAATTTCTGCCCCCCTCTGACCCACACAAAAAGACTCTGAAGGGGGAGACTCTGCAGCAACACAAGCGTTAATTGCACATATCCAGACCAGGGGCCGTAGTTTGAGGACGCCTGAGTTTGTGCAATATAAAAAATGCAAATATTTTTTCTGTGGACCACCAAATTTTTCTTGCGGACCAGCAGTGGTCCACAGACCACCAATTGGTGACCGCTGGCCTAAACCAAGGCAAATAGAAGCTAGCTATTTGGATTGATGTAGTAATGCTACCTGCTCTAATCATATCTGGTTCATATGTAAGTATCTTTTAGTGTCCATGTGCCTCTTTGTTGACACTTTGAGGTATGTGTGAAACCTGCTTTGTTACTCTGTGGTCTAAATGTCCAGGATAAATATGATGAGGCCAATTCTAAACATTCTTGGTAGCAAAGATTCAGTCATATGGAACTCTTACATGCCCTACAATATGGAAAATGATTGGCTGGGGAAGATTACTCCCCTTAAGCTGGCCAAACAGTGTAGAAATCACAAGGATTTCTTATCCGCAGCTTGGAAATCATACAAGCCTCACCAGGCTGTGAAGACCAGGAATATCCTCTCCAAATAACTTCAAAGCTTAACATTTCTTATATTTTTAGGTAGCTATTAGGGGTGTCAAACTCCCATCACCATGGTGTTGTCATGTGATGTATCAGGACTTTTCCCCCCATTCACTGAACTGGGTGCGGCTGTGGCCATGGTGTGATGCATCCAGCCCATGGGCTGGGAGTTTGACAGACCTGTAGTAAGACGATCCATGACATCCTTTTCCTTACCTAAACAGAAAAAATAGAATTGCCAAGTACACCCACACACACAAACACAAGTAATGGGAGCGGGAGTGACTTCTGATTTCCTGCTGGCTTCCCCAGTTACTTTGCTTATACAGAGCTGGCAGAGAGTGTCAGAAATCTTCAACTGACCATTGCAATGTAATGACCCACAGTTTTGCCAATACAACTCCTCTGAAGATCTTTTAAATTTCAATCACATGGCTTCTGGATTTTATATGCATTCTTTAATGGATTTGAGACACCTTGATTTAAAAACCTTTGCACTATTTGGGCTTACTGAAGGTTACAAACAGGCAGGTTTAGTAGTATATAGACATCCCGTTCTTTATAGGTCCATGCCATCGCTTCAGATTTTCATATACTCTTTCTAAAATGTTGCTATTAATCCTGGGTAACTTCTTTGAAATGTTGCATAAAGGAGCTATGAGGATTCACTGGTTAGTAGACAGGCTTCTGTTTGCGCTATTCCCAAACAAGATACACTCACTGCATGGAATCATATTAGCCGATCCAGAGAATGGCTCTAGATGGACCTGCTAGAATTTTACTGGAAGGAAACTTTAATTGAGAGGCATTAACAAGAAACTAAACCAAACCAAACCAAACTAATCATAAAACCCCTGTGGAGTGAAGAGGGGAGGTTGTGTTTTTTTTTTAACTCTCTCATTAGTCTACCAGTTCACTCCCAGCTGCATTTTACTGCATGTATAAATCAAGGATATTTGTAGGAAAATGAAAAAAAAAAGTCGTGTATTTAGGTTTTATTTTAAAAAAAGGCAGAAGTACTGAAGAGGGAAAACAGGTTTGGCTGCTATACAAAGGAAAAGGATTTGGGCATCTTAGTAGGTTGAAAGCTAAACAGGAGCCCTGTAATAATGCAGTGTGGCTGCTAATAAAGTTATTGCAATTAGATTACATCACCAAAAACACTGATCAGATCATGAGAAGTAATTGCTGTACTCAAGTGTTCCTCAAGTGCCCCATCCTTTATGAAGGGTTCTCATAAACTGGACGATTACCAGAAGGGAGTGGGAATTGGTAACTAAAAATGGCCTCAAAAGAAGTTCTAACACTGATCCTACAGAGGAGAACATGAAGAAGCAGAAGGTGAGATATATAACCACAATTTCAAGGTCACAGAACATATGTGGGCTTCCTGGGGTTCACAGGCCACTGCAAACCCAACAGACAAGCAGCATCTTCCTAAAGAGGCCAGCTTTTCTTTTTTTTTTGACCCATCTGGACTTTCACTGCCTTAGCATCACATCCCTGCAGCTTTTAGGAGCCATAAAGAAGGGTAAAAATAGCCCAGTGATGACCAAGATGGAAAAGTCAAGTTCTCTGTTCTACAGAAGAAGTCAGGAACTGTGAGCAAAATGCAGGGAAGCAGATTTGAGTTAAATGGGAGAAAGATTGTCCTCATCGTAAAAAATGCTTGGTTGTAGAATCTACCACCTTGGTTGGTGGCCAGCTGAACTATGATGAGATGCTTCAGCTGAGGATGCACAATGTCTTCCAATTCTGATTTAATCTGCAATGATTTGTTGGCACTTTACAAGTTACAACTGAGAAGTAGAGAGAAACAGGAGGTCTGGAGTTTCTGGAAGGAAGAAGTTTCCAGCAGGTTAGATTCAGCTTGCCAACATATTTACTTGGCATAGAACCTATGCCTTTAACATCTTCTCAAAAGATCAGCTCTTAGATATCTCCCTCTTTCTACCGTCATTCAAAAAAACAGAACACAGATTTACAATGGGTTTGTTGGACAACCTTGATGGTGGTGGGTGGGAGCTGAACATTTGGCTTTTATGTGTATAGAATACTTGGGTGAGTTAACTGATGGCCCATAAGAATGTAGATGGATCAATAATTTAGATCCAGATCCTGATAGCAGAGATTTTGGCTGTGATGAGAAAAGAATATCTGTTTGAGATATTCTCAAAGCTTCATCTGTTGAATTTCTATAGGTTATGTTTGTTAATGGCCCTCTTTTCAGAAGAAAAGATGGTACTTCTTTAAATTGGAGACTGACCACACTCAGCTTTCTGAATGATGCTGAATTCCAGTTTCCATCGGCCTTAGTGTGTATCAGTGGTGGGACTCAATTTTTTTTACTACTGGTTCTGTGGGCGCAGAGTGGTGGGCATGGTGTGGCTTGGTGGGTGCGGCTTGGTAAGCGTGGCAGGGGAAAGATAATGGATAGTCCCCATTCCCTCCCAATCAGCTGGGACTCTGGAGGCAGAGAATTGATGTGTGTGGGGCCAGTCTGAGGTGGTATTTACCGGTTCTCCAAACAACTCAAAATTTCTGCTACCGGTTCTCCAGAACTGGTCGGAACCTGCTGAATACCACCTCTGGTTTGTATGTGTGGAGGAGATTATGGGACTTGCCCAACAGCATCTGGAGGGCTGCAGTTGGCCCTTTCCCCCCTATTAATGAACACCAGAGGATCCTTGAATGGAGGAAAACTCTCCATCTGAAAGGTGAGCTACAACCCAGAATCCTGGGCCCTCTAGTAGTTACCAGATAATTAATACAGAAAGAGGGGTGTGTGTGAGTCAGATGATTGGATTCTTTTGAAAAGCAGAGTTTGGTAATGGAGCCTTGTTTCAACAGGCCAAGACCAATGAATGCCTTGTTTTCCATTCCAGGGTTGGGGAACAAAACAATAACAACATTCTTTTCCAGTAATTGCATCAGTGGGAAAACATGTAGAATAATGTTATAAAAAGATGGTAGCAGTGCATATTTCTTCTGAGTCTGGACTTCACTTATTGCTTTTCTGTGTGTGTGTGTGTGTGCATGTGTGGAAGGCAGGGAAAACTCTGAATATATACATGTGTGACCTTAATTTCATTGTGCTGGCTCTCTTCTCTTTGCAAAGAACAAAGTCTCTTTTTGTGAATTTCTGTCAATAGAAGCCAGGTGTTTTTTTTTGTTGTTGTTCTGCACAGCCTGTGCCACAAAGAGGAGGGGCACGAAAGGAGGCTGGAAGGCAAGGAGGAGAGGAAAATAGGTTTGGTGGAGTTGGAGAAGCCGGGAGGCTAACGGTAGATTTTGAAGAGGTGAGAAGGAAAACTTTGGAACTGCATTATTCCTCTTTCCTGTGAATTCCACCAAGAGGGCTCCCTCCTTTCCAGGGACAGAGAGTTGAAATTTGGGCTTCTGTTTTTACTTCCTTTGTATCTCTCTCTTTCCTCCCTCCACAGAAACACGATGACCAAACGGATTGTCGAGTCTATTCAGTATGGAGGAGTGACTTTTCCCAGCATCGTGCATAGTGAAGAGAGTGTTTGCTACGCTCACAAGAGTTTTGAAGTGCGGGATAGTGATGTCTTCAACATTACGTACCCCAAATCTGGTGAGCCACACAAGTGCCTATCCGCTGCTTCCCTGGAATTTTGGGGTGAAGAAAATATATTAATTTATACTTTTCATGGTTTGCTTTGACTCACTGTTCTCCAGTCTAGAGTATATGCCAAGGCACCATTTCATCTTTAGAAGTGGTGTGTGGACAAATAAAATTATAATAGCTAGAATGTTTTCCAGAAAAAAATACCAAAACTAACAGGGTTTGAAGTGTGTGAAATGAAAATCTTATAAGCACAAATGCCTTGTTGGAAAATTTAATTTTGGGTGTATGTCGGTACTATTTGCAGTTCTGTCTGTTGGTGAAAGGGTTGTCTTAAAGCTATCAGACAGAAAGAAAAATAGGCACTTAAACACTAAGTATATTGCGTCCTCTGACTGTTTGTCTGTCCATCCTTCCAATTTTTTTTGTCAATCAAAACTAGTGACCAAGTTAATGGAAGTGCATGCAAGTGGGGAAACCCAAAATACTGAAATAATACCCAGGATTTTGTTTGCTTAGTGCTACTCCTTGTAAGTATGGTGGTTCCACAGGATCATTTCAGATCCTAAACCTGGGGATTTCTTCCACAGCTGCTACAAAAAGCTTTGGTAAATTCCTTCAGTGACACCCTGCAGATTCAAGGTAAGGTTGAAGTATAGAATCTTCTTGTCTTGTTTGCAGGAACAACTTGGATGCAAGAAATTCTTACTTTGATCTATAGCAATGGAGATCCCACATTCTCACAGACAGTTCCTTCTTGGGAACGGGTGCCCTGGATTGAACACAAGACAGCAACGCAGTACTTGGAGAACCGGCCTGACCCTCGGCTCATTACCTCTCATTTGCCTGCAACAATCTTTCCAGAAAAGTTCTTCTCTTCGCAAGCTAAGGTGATTCCATTTGTCCGTATATCTAGCGGGTGTGCATATATAAAGGAAATATTGATTCATTATACAAGCCATGGACTGTTTAACAATGAATTCAGTTGTAGGATCCAATCTGAGTTAGTCACCAGGACCAGAAGTTTAGCTTTTACATTCATGTTGCTCCGACCCTCTGGAACGAGCTCCCCGTGGAGGTTCGAACCCTCACCANACATCTTCAAGTTGCCAAGGTTTGAGAAACACTGATAGTAGGCTAATGGGATTGTCTAGTTTGTGGCTCAATATTTGTTACCCTTTATGGTTAGTGGTTAATTTACAGTTCAATGGGTTGCGTGAATCCAAACAATTGAATTAATGTAAAAAGCCATGGCTGTCATCCCTAATTTGATTCATTTGGACGTCTTGCTTGTCATGGCTGAGTTCCAACTCATTGCAAGCTTCCCATGAGGTAGGTTGAAACTGATCCAAGGACTTCTGAAATAAAAGTTGGATTTAGTCCAGAAGATCTCCCATGTATCATTCTAGGACAGAGTTTCTCAACCTTGGCACCTTGAAGATGTGTGGATTTCAACTCATAGAATTCCCCACCCGCTGTAGCCAGCTGGCTGGGGAATTCTGGGAGTCGAAGTCCACACATCTTCAAGTGGCATGGTTGAGAAACACTGTTCTGGGGCCTTCTGGAATCAACCAGCTTAGAAATTCAATGAAAAAAACAAAATCACTTGCAGTCTATTTCTTACAGAGAATGAAAGACCTGGACATGAGAACATCACCCTCATGGGAGATCAAATGCAGGTCTTCTGGAAGATTACTATTCCCATTGATAAGGCAAGAAAACATAAGATACTGTATGTTCATTCCATGAAGATTCTGGAGGGCTAACCGATTTAGGGGCCAATTGTGCGTAGTGTGTGAATTGCATCATGTAAAGCAGGGGTGTCCAACCTTGGGAACTTTTAAGACTTGTGGACTTCATTACCCAGAATTCCCCAGCCAGGATGTCCTGCCTATGGCTGGTGGGGAATTCTGGGAGTTGAAGCCCACAAGTTTTAAAAGTTGCTGAAGTTGGACACCGCTGATCTAAAGACTTTGAAACAATCAGGCATTTTTGAAGGACAGAAAAACTACGACTGGTCTCTCCCTTCTTGCCCTTCCAAAACCTTTATAGGTAGTCCTCAACCTATAGCCTTATATCTGAAAAAGGAGGCTTATAGCCTGGATAGGTTTGTCCGCCCTGTGGTCACATGACTGCACTTTGGGCACTCAGCAACACAGCTGCATTTATGACTGTTTGCCACATCTCATGATCACGTGGCCTTTCTTTACGATGGTCAAATTGTCAATTGACCACCACAAGGAACACTATAAATTCACGTGGGTCACATGAGTGACCTGTTTTACAACCACTATGACTCACTGAGAACAATTAATCAGTGGAACGACTTGCCTCCAGAAGTTGTGGGTGCCCCAACACTGGAGGTTTTGAAGAAGAGATTGGACAACCATTTGTCTGAAATGGTATAGGGCTGTGATGGTGAACCTATGGCATGCATGCCACAGATGGCATGTGGAACCATATCTGCTGGCATGGCAGCCATCAGCTCCAGTGCACATGCACATGTCAGCCAGCTAGTTTTCGTCCTCCCCAAGCTTCAGGAAAGCCTCCGGAGCCTGTGGAGGATGAAAACAGCCTCCCCAGGGCCCCCAGAAGCCCTCTGGAAGCTGGAAATGGATCATTTCTGAACTTCTGGTTGTCCCATTGGACCTATTTTTCACCCTCCCCAGGCTCCAGAGGCTCTCCTAAAGCCTTGGGAGGGAGAAAATGGCCTCCCTCAGCCCCCTCCCCAGGAAATACCAAGCTCAGCTTGGAGGCAAGCAGTGCGTGTTGGGGGGGGGGAGCATGGTGGGTTATGCACACATGTCCACGTGGGGGGGTGCTTTGCATTATGGGTTGCCGGCACACCCATGCGCTTTTGCGTGCACGCACTTACATTTTTGGCACCCAACGACAAAAAGGTTATCGATCATTGGTATAGGGTTTCCTGCCTAAGCAGAGGGTTGGATTAGAAGAGCTCCAAGTTCCCTTCCAACTCTGTTGTTCTGTTCTGTTCTGTTCTGTTCTGTATTATAATGGGCAGACTTCATTACGGTTGTAACCTAGAAGTTGGAACTACCGTGTATGAGAAGGACTGGCAGAACCTGGGGGTGGAGTTAAGAGGAACCAAACTAGAAATTCTAACCACAAGCAGAATACAGAGTTCAAAGAGACCTTGGAGATCTTCTAGTCTAACCCCCTATTCAAGCAGGGAATCCTATACCTTTCTAGTCAAGTGATTATCCGGTCTCTTCTCAAAAGCCTCACAACATCTGAAGACAAGCTGTTCCACTGGTTAATTGTTCTCACTGTTAGGAAATTTACCTTTAGTTCTAGGTTGCTTCTCTCCTCGATTAGATTCCATCCATTGCTTCTTGTTCTGCCTTCAGGTACTTTGAAGAATAGATTGACCCCCCTCTTCTTTGTGAAACTTTATTGAAACTGCTATAATGTCGCCCCTACTCCTTCTTATCACTAAACTGGACATACCCAATTCCTGCAACCATTCTTTGTATGTTTTAGCCTCCAATCCCCTATTCATCTTTTTTGCACGTTACTAAGTCCAACTCCCTAAATTGCATTGACTCTTATCTAACTCGTAGTAGGTGTTAAAGGTTAATTGAGAAGATCCCTGTGGTTGGCATGAGTAGTAATACATCAGTTTAATTGGACCTTCACATATGGATCTGCCCTTTTGTGCTTGACATATCCCAATTTTATCCATGAGCTAAATGGAAATTTGAATCAGGGTTTCCTCAGTCCTAAACTCGTTATAATACGGGGAACCTATAACACTCCTCAAAGAATGGGACTATAGCAACGTCTATCATATTCTTTGCTCATGCTCCTTTGGATAATGGAAGTTATAGTCCAACATCTTAGTTTTGCCTACAGCTGCTCTAATGAAAACATCATTACATCTTAGTTTTCTCTTCCAAGCTGTGGAATTTAATTTGACAAAATGTAATGTTTTCTGCTGGCGAGGTATGATTTCATTTGGGGCAGGCAATTGCGGATAAAAACCCCTACAATTTTCCATGTGAAAACCTCTGAACAGATGGCCGGCACACATTTGTGCAACTCCTTCTTTTCCATAATAGGATTTTAAAGGAGGGTGACTGAAGACAGGTAAAACAACAGCACCTGTATCGTGTTGCCCAAAATAGGTTTGTGGGCTTGTTAGGGCCTAAGAAGTGTCTTTCATTTGTGGTTTTTCACATTGGGGCTTTTATAAGATCCCCCCTCATTTAGCCTCAGAGATTAAGTAACTATGCTGCATTGTTCTTGTGACAATGACACCATTGCCACAGATTGGCTGAAATGTTGCAATGTCCAGATTAGAATAGACAAAGTTTGTTTTGATGAACTAACTAAAAGATTGCCAAGGTTGAAATCCCATTTTGCAAGCTGAAGTCATCAAATTTATAAAGCTTATGCTAACCATTTCAGTTCGTTTCCCCTTCTGTATGCCACGTTCGGTTGTGATGCTACTTGATTTTCATTTGGCTGTGCTGCAAGAATACAGCCAATCAATTTACACATTCGTGGTTATGGTAAAGCTTTTGTGCAAATCCAACTACTGTGGCTAGGTTTCGCGGCTCAGAACAATAAGTAAAGCCAGATATGGGCTGTTGTCATAAAGATCATATGTTAAATGTTATAAAGTCACCAAGAGTTGGTTGGTAGACAGATAGGTGGCAAAGAAATTTAATATTTATTTAGCGTAGGGCTTTGTTTTTGTTGCCATGTATTTTGAGACGTGACCCGTCAAAACCGCGTTCCACAAAAGCGCGGTCAACGAAAGCGCGTATGTGACGTCATCACAGCGCGACAAAAAAGATCGAAAAATTGAAATAAAAATTAAATTACAGCAAGCCGATTCACATAAAGGTAAGGGTTAGGTTTAGGGTTAGGGTTAGGGTTAGGTTAAGGGTTAGGGTTAGGTTTAGAGCGTTAGNTCAGGCCAGGCCGGCTTGCTGGAAAAGCCAACTTTTTACTATTTTAAGAGTAAACTTTTGGAGAGTTTAGTTAAGAGTAAACTTTTGCAAATAAGCTTGCTGGAAAAGCCAACATTTTACTATCTTAAGAGCCATGTTGGTCCAGTGGTTAGAATGCAGTAGTGCAGGCTAACTCACTGCTCACTCCAGGAGTTCGATCCTGAGCAGCTCAAGGTTGACTTCCATCCTTCCAAGGTCAGTAAAATGAGGACCCAGATTGTTGGGGGGAAATAGGATGACTCTGTAAACCACTTAGAGAGAGCTGTAAAGCACTGTGAAGTGGCATATAAGTCTAAATGCTGTTGCTGGTGGTATCTGAGCAAGTCTATTTTGGATGGACAACCAAGATCCCAGGTTAATCTTGAACCCCTGAAGTTACCACCAAACACAATAACTCAGAATTGATAATGCTATTTTGAGGTAGGAAATACACAAGAAATAATCTATAGTCTGAGTCTTAGACATTCTAATAATCGGAGTCCTAAAATAAATTAATGGTTTAAAAATGCTATAAAAAGAAATCAACCCCAGATCCAGAAAGAAATATGCCATTTCAGCTCTAGCCTTCAGTGTTCTACCCATTTTGTATTATACTCTTACTCTGAGATTCTCCTTAGATTCATCCTTAACCACCAACATCTTAGTCATCCATCAATCTTAGCCCCTTCATTATAACCCCTTTGCTGCCTTCATTCTTTATATAATGAAACACGAGTTGCTTATGCTATTTTTTTTTGTCATACAATTGACCCGCTTTTAACTGCCTCACAACTCACAGCATTGACCTCTGGCATGTATAAAATGCAACTGGTAAACCTGATTGCTTCTTTCTCTGTTCACTTGGGTCATGTTTTGTTTGACCTGGAACCAATTAAATTATGTCCTCTGATGAAGCAAAATTCCAGCCCTTTGCAGAATTCCCTTGTGTGTCAAATGTCTGTGGATGTCAACCCTGCACTAACAATCTGCTTTGTCTGTTAGATGATAACAAATGGATTCTGTCAGGTGAACTCTTGGCTCCTTGCTGTTTCCTTAGCATTCTTCCCTTTGGATGAGATGGTGTTTTTTGGTGACAAAGTTAATAGATCACTTGTCAGACATGTGTGGGCCTCATGGTCCTTCCCCCAAATGTCTTGGATTTTGGTTCCTTGTTACCTAGCCAGCATGGCCCGTGGAAAGGCACTGTAGGGATTATAATCCAAAACATCTGGAGGTGCAGTACCCTTTTGCTATGAACATTTGCTTAGAAACTAGTTTTGCTGGGATCAGTGGAATTCACTATTAAGTAAATGCATATAGGTTTCCAACTTCAGGATTATTTTGCTTACTATATTAAAATCTATGCAGTTACAAAAAAATGTTTTCCTTTTTATTTGCTTACCCCAGTTCTCTTTGGCACCTGGTTTGATCATGTCAAAAGTTGGTTGGCCTACAAAAATGAGAAAAAGTTTCTCCTTCTGGTCTATGATGAATTGCTAAAGGTAGATGTCTGTCTGTCTGTCTGTCTGTCTGTCTGTCTGCCTGCCTGCCTGCCTGCCTGCCTGCCTGCCTGCCTGCCTGC